ATAAAACCCACAAAACAAAAAGGCACAGATATTGCCTGGCTCTGGTTAGAAGGATATAAAAGGGAAAGTAAGCGCTAATGAGGATGCGGACAAAGGGAATCTTGTTTTGGGAATGGAAACTAGCTCAGCCACCATGGAGAAGAGCATGGCTGTCTCTCCACGAGTGACTTAGTCAGGTGGAGAGGCATCTGCGGTATCGCAGACATTGCAATAGTCTACGTTATTGTACTACTATTCATAACTGCCAAGACAGAGCTGGATGTGATAATATGTATCTATAATCCTAGATCTTGGGAGGCAGAGGCAGGAGAATTGCTGCAATGTTAAGGTGTGGGGGTAAGGGGTGCATGGCAAGATTCTGTCTAAAAAAAAAAGAAAAGAAAAAAGGAAGGAAGGAAATGAGGGAAGGAAGGCATGAAGGAAGCACAAACAAAAGAAAGAGAAAAGAAAGGCAAGAAAGAGCCAACCAAGCCAAAGTATACAGGGTGGGGTAATGTTCAACCATGAAAGGCCAAGTCCTCTCTTTTGTGACACTGTGTTTGCGGCTGGAGATCACCAAGTTAAATAGACGCAGAGAGCATGGTGTGACTCACTCGCAGCATAAGGGTACTGATGTCACGGGAGCTGAGAGCAGAGCAGTGGTTACATAGGCAGGAGAATTACAGAGCTGCGGGAGGAGGCGTGGCGAGAGGGCTCCGCATGCAGGAAGCAGACGATGCAGTCTGGTGGTGTGAGATCCATTTTAAAGAGCTGGGAGAGGGCTTGAGTGTTCTCGCCGCAAAGCTGTGCCGGGCGATTGTGTTTTCTAGGTGCCACAGTGTGTACATGTGTCAAACACAGTGAGATCTTTAGATTTTCATGTTGTTTTTTTTCTTCTTTTTAAGACAAGGTTTCTCTGTGTCGCCTTGGCTGTCCGGGACTTACTTTGTAGACCAGGCTGGCCTCGAACTCACAGAGATCCACCTGCTCCTGCCTTCTGAATGCTGTGATTAAAGGCATGCATCACCACTGGCCAGGCCTCATGTGTTAATTTTTAAAAAGATCAATTAATCACAATTGTTGGAAGTACCGGAGGAAGGGAACAAAGAAAAGGAGAGAAAGAGAGAGGGAGAGAGAGAGAGACCACATCAGCCACTTCATTTTAGATGGAGCAGCCACTGTATATAAAAAGACCTGAATCTCCCCTGGGCCAGACTCTGAAATGGAGGAGGCAGAGAGGAGGAAGGAGCCTGGGGCTGCAGACTCATGTGATACCCGACACTGGAGCACTGGGACACTGGGACACTGGGACACTGGGACAAGGCCACTCCACTGCCTTTTCTGCTGTTTGCTTAGTCCAAACCAGCCCAGTGCATCTGAAACCGCGCTGGCCGCTTCTCCCATGATGCTTTTGCTGTTCAGGTTGACCCCGTGCTTGCGATTTGGTGACAGGCTAGGTGCTTGAGTGACGCTCAGCTCTGTGAACAGGACCTTTTGTTTAGAAGTGTACCAGCCACATTTTCTCTTTTCTTCCTTTCTCCTTCATAACCTAAGAGGGGGGGAAAAGCCTGCCTGTCATTTGGTAAGTTCATTAACTAATTCTCTTTAGTCCAAGGGATCCATATCAGCCTGCGATTTGTGTATATTCAATTTGTCCGACAGCTCTATTGACAAAGCCCTCATTACCTGCGCCTTTGGCGCGAAGGCTGGAGTAAGCGGCCAGATGCCTTATCTAACTCCGTCTCTTTCTGAGTGTGGCTATAGATTTCCCGCTGCCCTGTGGGTCTCGGCAAGGGTCATTTTAGCAGCATTTACATTCCTGAGGAGTCCATGGCTTTATTTCCCCTGGTTCGGGGTTCTCAGAGTTCATTTGTTGAGGTCAAGGATGCTGAATTCTTAAGAAAGGAAATTTAATAATATGGAGAGGGAAGAAAGGCCTGGAGACTGTAACACAGAGCCCCTGCCCGCCAGCTTCCCCTCAGCATGGCAGAGAGGAGCTTCTGCCCCTGCTGCCTGCGCCACAGCCTGCCCGCTGCTTCTGTGCTCAGGGAGGCGGTGAGGTCATCAGGGCTTGAACTCGGGGACACAGAGCACAGTGCTGTGGCTGGACCACAGGTAGAAATGCTGTCAGTAACATGGAGGGGCTACCGATGGACTGCGGCGCTCTGGGTGGAGGATGGAGGGCCGGAGACGTGGCTCGGAGGTCAAGGGCATGAGCTTAGTGTCAAGAACCTAGGCCAGATGGCTCAGAGCTGCCTGTCACTCCAGCTCCAGGGGTCCTGAGGCCCCCACCCTCTGGATGCCAAAGGCACTCTCTCACACTGCAAAGTTCTACACACACACACACACACACACAGACACACACACACACACTTAAAAAAATAAAATGGAGGGGAAGTCCATGACTTCTGTCTGTGTGTGACGAGTCCATGCTATCTTTACCCGGGACTGGAGACGGCTCAGAGCTTAAGAACACTGACTGCTCTTCCAGAGAACCTGGGTTCTAGTCCCAGCACCCAAGTGATGACTCACAACCATCTGTACTCCTAGTCCTGGGCATCAGATGCTCCCTTCTGGCCTTTGTGGTCACCAGGCACACATGTGGCGCACAGACATACAGGCCAAACACCCATCCACAGACAGACAGTTAGACAGATAGACAGACTGTAAACAAAATAAAACCTGTTGTTAAAGGTAGCGAAGTGAATTAGACTAGGGTCAGCCAGCCCCATGTTCTAGGGTCTTTAGTGGGCAGCAGCTGCCTGAGGACGCTGCTCGACGTAGGATGATGCCCGAGCTCTGCGCCCAGCTGCTTACCTCCTTACCATGAGGTGGGCTCAGGCTGAGGCCTAGAGAGCTGTCTCTGCAACCCCAGAGCATTTGCTGGAGGTGCCCCTGCCATAGCTGCTGCTCCTCCTGGGGGCTGACTCTGAACCCTCTTCCAGATGTGAGTCACTGCCAGGGATTTGGCCTGGTGTTCTGGATGCTCCCTCCTGGGCCACCTGGTCCCCGCTCAGCAGCTGCAGGAGGGTAGGTGAATTGGCATGCAGGTGTCACCCAGAGGAGCTCAGAGCAATGAACACAGTTCTGCAGTTCCCTTCCTCAGGGAGGCCGAGGGCAGCTCCAGAAGGGTAGGTCCTCCCCACCCCTGCCCGTGGTGATGTCCAGGCTTGGGTCCCTTCTGTCTGTGGTAATGGCTGAGAAGCGTTAGAAGTGCTTCTTTTGACTCCTGGAGTGGCCTGGGGCTCGAGCTGTCTGATGGAATGTTCTAGGGTGACGTTGATTCCGGCCCTTTCATCTGGAGAGAGTCACGACCTGAGTGTGGCTCTTGAGCACTTACAGGGGGGCTACCCGAGGATGGATGCAGTGGGCAGTTCAGCCCGAGTCAATGAGGCCCCATCTTTTTGTGAGTCGACAAACCACAACGTTGAAAGTCAATAGACAGCGAAACCAGAGCTCCAGCTGCCCCAGGGCAGACGGGCCTACAATTCACACACCTGTGCCGGATCTCTGGATCTCTGATCTCTTGGGAGGCAGCCGGAGGCAGCCACTTAGAAGCCCTGTGAGATGGTGGTTGTGTGGTGTCTGCAGGGCTCTCAGATCCGAGGATCCGGGGTAAGTGAGCCAAGTGGTGGTTCGGTAGCTACTGCTGGTGGGAGGGACGGGCCTCTCCTGAGGGATTAAGCTGGGGACAGAGTCCCTGATGCCACACAATTATTTTCCAGTTTGACTCCTGTGTCCTTTCAAGTCGTAGCGTGCTGCACTTTTCTTTGAGAGCCCGATGGAAGGCTCATAGGGAGTGCTCTTGAGTGTGATAACGCTGGGCTGGGTATTGTTTGAGCCGATGAGAAGAATTGGGCAGGGGCTCCTGAACCCACTTATCGGTGCCCTAGCAGGTTCAGAAGCCCCCTGCACCCCTGCCTAGGAGCTGCAGTCTTCTCTCTGGATCCCGTGGGGCACCTGCCTTGGAAAGCTTTGCTCCCAGGAGGACCAGGCCCTGGTTTGTGGGGGGTGAGGAGATGGGGGTGGGCAGGCTGCCCCTCACGCCTCTGGAGCCCTGAGGAGACTGTTTTAAGGTCACATCTCAATCCTGAAGGAGGAGGGTGAGGGGCAGATGTAGGCCCTAGTTCCTGTTATATAATTAGATGGAACTCTTCCTGGAGGAACAAAAAGAGGCCAAGGACAGCCTAAGCCTCGAGATTGCTTCTCTGAGTGGCCTGGGCAAGTAGGCCAGGGCAGATTTCTGCTCTGGCTAGCAGGTCCTGCCTTGGCTTGGCTTCCCATGGCCTGCAGGCCTGAAGGGTCCATTCAAAGAGGAACGGGCCCTAGGTTCCTTTTGGGGTAATAAGCCCTTGGTTTTCTGTCCTGAGTGGGAGCTCGGGGGGGCGGGGGAGGCAGAAGCAGCAGCTGTGGGCCGTCACTGGCTTCAGTGTCATCCTGCTTCTGACAGCCCCTGTGGCCCGTCTGTACGGTAAAAGCATGCGCCTCTTTATTTACAAAGATGCACGCCAGGCCAGGCCTTCTCGAGTTCATTATACTTCAGTGATGGTGAAATGGTGGCGCTTTATTAATTGCAGATAGGGCTGCGCGTCGGAACGCCGGGGCTTCTGTCCTGTGAACCTCGGCGTTCATTCCCTCCTTCCGTAGTGAGGACTTTTCGTCTCCCCTTGCCTCTCCCCCACCCCCAGAAGAGAATTTCAACTTCAAGACAAACAACTTCATTTACAAGTGTGCCTCTAATTAGCTGCAGAATTAGGAAAGCTGAGTTTTCCCCCACAGATCGGCTAAACCCTCCAGGGAGGCTAGTGGAATAGAGAGAATCGCATTTCCAATTATTTTGTTGAATTGCTAATTTAGTTATTGTGCCTGGTGTAATTGTGATGGGTATTGGGTGTGCAATTCAATTTGTTTTAAATATTTGTGGGAAGGCTGATCAGTAACGGAGCTGACCTATTTTATGGCCCAAATTGAGGAAAAAAAAAAAAAAAAAACTCAACTAAAACATAACAGCCACAAAGATATAGTTTGTTTCCATTTTTATTTGGATCTCTCTCATCCCTCTTAAGACCAGCCATGCAACAAAAGGATTAAATTAAAAGATGACAGCATTTTGATCTTCTCCCTTTGAAGGCGGCACTGTCCCTGGTAGTTTCCTAGGCAGATGCTGCGTCGTCGTGGTGACTGGCCTGAGTAGTTTCCCCGGTACCGCTGTGCCTACAAGTGACCTGGGGAATCGGCTTGGGAGCAGCATCACGGGGAGGAGAACCCGCAGAACAGTGCTCAGCCATCATCGCAGGGGGCAATTCCTGCTGGCCGAGAGCCCCGGAGCCTGCATGGAAGGGAAGGAACCTGGTCTGTGATGGTGCTCAGAGCGCAGGGCGTGGTGACCCGGGTCCCAGCCCAGGGAGTCTATACCACGCGCACGCTCACGTGGTTTGAGCCTGGCTAGTCTGTTGGGGTTAGGAGTGAGACCCCATGCGGGCCTGTGTCTGCACAGGAGAGGACACACGCTGGGGTGCTACTGACCTTTCTATCGGGTGTTGAGGAATAATCCGGTCTGGGTCTGTGGGGAGGGCAGGAGTGTGGGTGGGAGGGTCACAGCTCTGGGTGCTGTGAGCTCTAGGTCAAGGCTGCTCACCGGAAGCTCCTGGGTGGGTGGGGCGCTAAGCCTAGCTGAAGCCGCAGTGGCCAGCCCTAGAGGATCTGTGAAAGGAAACGGTAAAGACGGGGGCAGTTGTCATATAATTTGATCCCAGAAGGTTTCATTCTGTAGTCCAGCTTTCTTAGAAAGGAGCCAGTGCCCGGCGTTCCTCTCCTGGTGGGGAGGAACAGGGCAGCCGAGGCCCCCCCCCCCCCGGCTTATCAAGCAACTGAGACAGAGGCTGAGGAGGGGGACAGTGAGCCAAGAAGAAAGCGCTGATCAGGCAGGGTAGCTGGGGCAGGTGCACCGAGGAGCCTGGGAGCTGACGCACAGGGCCCCGCGTCACCCCTGTCCCTCGCTGGCTCTTCAGGCTCTTCTTTGTAGCTTTGTTACTGAGGTGCAATTTACGAAGCTCAAAACCCATCTTTTTTTGGGAGGGGGTAAGAGTTTATCTTTCACTTTGTGTGCGGGGCTGCTCCCTTGTGTCCGCACCGCCTGCACGCCTGCACGCCTGCTGTCAGCAGAGGCAGAAGAGGGATCCCGTCCCTAGCAACTGCAGCCACAGAAGGCCGTCATGCCCGGTCTAGGAGTCGAACCCTGATCCTCTGGAAGAGCAACCCCAAATCCGCTCACTCTAAACACCTAGTTGAGCGGTTCTCAGTAAGTCTGTGGAGTTGTAAGGCCAGCAATGGTCCAGTTTTAAGGTGTTTTACCCCCCACCCCAGTTCATCCATTCTAATTGGCAGCGCATCTCTGGCCCCGGGCCCAGGAATAACTTACTTCCTGTGATTGCGGGCACCACTCCCGGACGTTTTATATATAAAAAAAGGCCAGACGACAAGCAGCTTTTGTCAGGCGTCTCTTTCTTAGCACAAAGCCCATCTCTCATGCAGTGTGAACTGTGGTGCGTCACGCTGTATGGCTGACACCACGGGTTGTGTGTGCGTCCACTCAGCGATGTAGAGGGGGAGGAAAGGCCGATGTGCGTCGTCACAAGGCTTTCTGGGCCATGGTTTGGTCTCTCTTGGGTAGGCAAGCCGTCCCTGGCTACGGAAGGTACGGGGAACCTCATGGCTCATGTTTTACGAAGTGACCAAGGCTTTCCACAGCTGCCGTGTTTTCCCACAGCTGGCCAGCGCTTCCTGGCTGGCTTCTGTCTGCAGCCATCCTAGCGAGGACTCGGAGCAGGGCTTTCCAAGCACGCTTCCCTGATGCCCAGCCTGGGGCCTCAGTGCAGATCTTGATTGGCTGTTCATCTAGCCATCCATCTTTTGCAAAATGCCCCGTCACACCTTTTCCTCCCTTTGAATAGACTCATTGGGTTGATTCCTTGCACATTTTGAATGTGAGTCCTTCATTATAGATGGTTGGCTTGTCTTCTTTTCTTAATAAGGTCTTTTGAAGCACAAAAAATTTAGATTTTGATAATATCTGAGCCAGGTGTGGTGGAGCACTCGTTTGACTTCAGACCTCAGGAGGCAGAGGCAGGTGGATCTCTGTGAGTTCAAGGCCACCCTGGTTCCAAGCATCCAGGGCTACACAGTGAGACTCTGTTTTAAAAACAAAAATCTGCTTTCTTTTTTCTGTTGTGCTTTTGGTGTCACATCTAAGAAGGCTTTGTCTACCCCAAAGTCACAAGCACGTGGATGCTGCCTCCAGCATTAGAGTGCTCACACTTATCATTTGTTTACTAGGTTTTTGAGGGCAGCTTTTGTCAGGCAGCCTCCTGCCTCAGCTTCCCGAGTGCTGGGCTAGCCTGTCTAGTTCTTACATGTACTGTATATCTGTCTTTGGTCCTGCTGTGGAAGTCTGAGAATGCAGTTTGTGTCCAAAATCAATTGACCATAAGTGTTAGGATTCATAGACTCTGTTGCTTTTTTTTTTTTTTTTAAATACTGTGACTGTTTTGAAATCAGCCAACATAAGCCCTATAAATATTTATCAGAATTGTTTTGGCTGTTTGGTCCCTCATATCTCCACTAACGTTTTACGAGAGATTTGTTACTTCTGTTTTGAGATAGGGTCCCATGTAGCGGAGGCTGGCCTCAAACCCACAGGGCTCCTGGTTTCCGCTGGGGACAAGCCCAGGGCTTCATGCAAGCTAAGCAAATTCGTTACCAGGCAACCTGCTGAGCTGGGCACAGGCCTGTTTGCACCCAGGTTTTGAGGCCTGTGTGGGTGACAGAGTGGAGGCCCGCACTTGAAAGTATAATCAAACCCAAATAAAACCCGCTACTCTGCTGACGCATTGACCGCCCTGACTTTGGAGAGTCGGTGGGGAAAGGGCCACCTTAACCCCAGGACTCTGATTCACACGTGCGAATCTCTCTTTGTTCGTACCTAGTTTCTCTCAGCAGTGTTTATAATTTCTTGTGCACAAATACGTGATTCCTTGTGTGACTGGAGCATCTGGTTTTGGTGCTGCAGTGGAGCTGTTTATTTCATCTTTTGGTTTCCCCTCTCTAGAGTACGGAGACACAAGTGAGGATCTTCTTTATTTGGGGATTGTTTTGTTTAAAACATGGGTCTCGCTGTGCAGCCCAGGCTAGCCTGGAAGTTGGTAGTGCAGGCTGGTCCTGAGCGGTCCTGCCTCAGGCTGCAGGTGCTGAGATTAACTGGTGTGCGCGGCCGGGCACAGCCTGGGTTTCTAAGTATTTTCCGTGGTCCCTCAGCCTGTACTTTAGCCTCCAGCACCCGATAAGTGGGCAGAGTGGGCGCCTGGCCTTGCTTCATCTCAGGGAGCATCTTCGGCCCCTCGTCTATGAGGCTGCTTGGGGTTTCCACCTAGACTCGCTTTCTCAGCATGAGGCCATTCTCTGTTGAGAATTATGGTGTGAATTGGGGCTGGATTTCCAAATGCATCTGTTGACACTATCTGACCAGTGGGCTTTTTCTGCCCTTTACTGATGTGTGTTACACTGATTATGGATGTTACAAATCTTGTGCTCCTGGGACAAACGGCAACTAGCTATGGGGTATACCTTTAAAATAAATAACATAACTGGACCGTGTGTTCATTTTTCACTAAGATTGTTGTGTTGTTTGTTTGACATTGAGTCTCATCAGGAGGCCCTGGCTGGGCCTGAGCTAGCCTCACACTCACAGAGATTTGCCTGCTTCTGTCTCCTAAGAGCTGGGATCAAAGAGTTGTGCCACCATGCCTGGACTGCTAAGGTTTTGTCCCCATGTTCACGATGGATCAGTGCTTCCTGTGACTTTGGTATCAGGACACTGGCCTGACGGAATGGACCAGGTGTGCACTCGTGTCCCTTCTGCAGTAAGGGGCCCATCCTTTTCTTTAGATTTGAGCTCTCATCTGTCTTCCTAGAAAGACTTAAAATCTGTGCTGTGTGAACACTGGTACACTTCCCTCTCTTATTTTATTTACTTCTGTATTTTACGCATATGGGTATTTTGTCTATGTCTGCACACCTGAGGAGGGTATCGGGCACCAATGGACTAGTTATAGATGGTTGGAAGCCACATGTGGGTACTGGGAATTGAACTCAGGACCTCTGGAAGAGCAGCCAGTGTTCTTAACTGATGAGCCATCTCTCCAGTCCCTCATTTCTACTATTAGAAGCTTGTCTTGTGTGCCCTTTTAAAAGAGCTGACTTCAGGCTTTGCAGGTTTTTCTCTAGTTTCACCATTTTCTTTCATTCATTCTACTTTGTTCCTGCATTCCATCTGCTTTGGGCTTTCTGTTCTTTTTCCAGGGTTGGATGTTGGTCTTCAGCAGAAGTTTAAACTGTTGCTTCAGGTCCACACCTGCTATTGTTCCCTCCTCCTTTTTTTTTTTTTTAAATTTTAAAAAACAAAAAATTCCTTCTACTTTTCCTGTGTATGGGTGTTTTGTCTGTATGTATGTCTACGCATTGTTTGTGCATTGCCCACAGAGCCACAGAGGACAGATTCCTTGGAACTGGAGTTACAGATAGTTCCAGTCTCTCCTGTGGGTGCTGGGAACTGAGCCCAGGTCCTCTGCAAGAGCAACAAGCCCTCTTACTCACTGAGCCATCTCTTCAACCCTTCCTTTTCCTTTTTCACTTTGTAACCATGGCTGGCCTCCAACTCTTCATCCTTCTCCTTGTAACTCCCATGGGCTGGGATTACAGGCATCTGCCACCATGGCTATTTCTGCACCATGTGTCTGTTTCTCTTTTCTGTTGTTCTGCCTTTTGTATTTTGGGACTGTGCTGATAGGTGTGATTATTAAAACTCCATGACATACAGATATTTATTATAAATGTCCATTTGTCTCTAGAGATATCTTTTTTTTTTCTTTTGAGACAGTGTCTCTCCACATAGCTTTGTCCTGAAACTCACTCTGTAAACCAGGCTAGCCCTAAACTCACAGAGCTCCGCCTGCTTCTGCCTCCTGAGTGCTGTGATTAAAGGCATACGCCATTATACCTGGCCTATCTAGTGATATATTTAATGAATACTTTTTTTAGTTTTTGGATTTTCAAGACAGGGTTTCTCTGAGTAGCCTTTGTTGTCCTGGTCTCTCTTTGTAGACCAGGCTGGTCTTGAACTCAGAGAGACCCACCTGCTTCTGCCTCCCGAGTGTTGGGATTATAGGCGTGCACCACCATGCCTGGCTTTTTCTAGCATAAATAGAGATATATGCAGTATTTTGAATAAAAATGCCCCCTCCCCCGGTTCACAGGGAATGGCACTATTAGGAGTGGCTTTTCTGGAGCAGGTGTGGCTTTTCACCCCTGCTGCCTGCGAAGCCAATGCAGACCTCTCAGCTCCTTCTCAGCACCATGCCTACTTCATGCCACCATGCTTCCCACCATGACGGTAATGAACTAAACCTCTGAAACTGTAAGCCAGCCCCAATTTATTGTTTTATTTTATAAGAGTTGCTGTGATCGTGGTGTCACTTCACAGCACTAGGAACCCTAACTAAGACACTAAACAGCCTTTCCTAAGTTTGCACACACAAACCAATTTCTGCATGTTTACTTCTAACTTGTCTTTGGCTCTAGCATTTCTTGATGATGGCACTATGAGCTCAAGGGCAGTTTAGGTGACATAAGCCCTGTCTAAGACAAA